GTAGGATTATTGGTTCATTTTCTTTATATATTTATGTGGTGCTCCTTCCCCCTAGACAGGGGCGTAACAATTACACTAACGAACAACGCATGGAATACTGATCAAAACTTTTGATATTCCAAGTGACTCTAAAAGGAAAATTGCAAATAGTTCCAGTGATCAGCTTTCAAGCTTGTGGCTGTGTGTGTAGAATGGCTGTTGTTTCTGCAGCAATGCAGCACTGAAAGACGGGGAGAGAGTTGAACAGAGCATCTCTGTCTTCTGTTTTAATCAGCAGATTAGATGGTAGTCACTCCTCACTGGTTGTGCTTGTTGCACATGTTGATTAGTCATTAATTGGCAGCTTTCATTATTTGAGGGCAGCAGCGTAAAGTGGGGCTATAAGAGAGGGCCTGATGTCATGCCGGGGGAGGCTGAATAGCACCAGTCTATGAGAGAAAGGCCTTTTGGAAACGTGGACAGTGCCTAATTGGATGAGGATTTCACTGGGCTGCTTGGGAGAACTGGTCTTATGCAATGGCATAGATGAATGGACAGGGTTTGGGAGCAATTGTGCTTGTGCACAAGTTGGGTTTAATAGTGGCCCCAGAGGGCTACTTTAGATGGATCTGCCTTCTCATGACACCATCTTTACGACACCTGTTGGTAGCAGAACTTCTTTCACTGACTAATGCATTGCACACATTTAATCTAATTTTAGTCAAAAACATAAAGCTGTTAATACCATAACTAACCATACAAGTAAAACATTTAACTTGTATAGGAAAAGGGCTGAAGTTCTATGTGACCACATGAACAGGATTTATTTTATGTTCTTACTCTTAGGAATACTAATAAACTTAGCTAGAGGAAAAAAATCATATTAAGAAGGACTTAACATAAGTCCTATTCCTAAGTACCAAAGCACACCACTCTAAACAATCAAGCAGGAAATGCAATTATGTACGACAAAATGCATGCATGCATGGCCAAACGTAGAGCATGAGAGGGAATTAGAACGAGGACAGTGCTATAATTCAAGAACCGAAAAATGCCTGCATTGTTCTGTTTTTAATCGTACGGTACATCTACCAAAGCCAACTAACCATGGGTTTGATTTTGCATTGCAGATTCCAGCTGGTACAGTGAGACACAGATCAACAGAGGGAGACAGACAGAGATAAAGACAGTGAAACTAAAAGAGAGGCTAGCTAGAGAAAGAGACGGTTGAGGGGGGGCAGACAATGGGAACACACAAAGAGACAAAGATAAACGGAGAAACAACAGACATAGAAACGCAAGAAAACATGAGAGCCAGGGACAAAATGGTACATGTATGTGTTGGAGAGGTCATTGCATTTGACACATCACTGTGCGTCCACACCACATTACCTGCACCCACCCGAGCATGTGGTCCCTCAGGTGTTCAGTTACCTACAGAATAAAGGCGACATTCTTGCCTCTCACGCAGGTTTGGGTTTCAGCCACATTTGGACCAACACCAGACAGTGAGAAACCCAATCCACTGTACACTCTGGCGGTTAGACAAGCAAGCATTGCATCATCTTAGGTCACAAGTGGAAAGCGCAAGAATCGGGTTTGTACAGGTCCATATTTACAGTACGGAGAAGGAGGGAGAAGAATAATACCACAACGTTTTTTCCTCTGGCAAGGGTTTAGGTTCTTAGAAATGACTCCTTACAAAACAGAACATGATTACTCAGTGGTTATAGCTGAGATACCAAGTTTATAAAACATTAAATCGGCTGTACTGCCAACAATAAGTGGTCACATTAGTCTTAAGAACTGTTAACTTGTGGTTAAGTACCAATTTAAACAACCCAAATGCAAAAGTTTGTAGCATGTTTTAAGGCCAAGAATGTGGGAACTGAGCCCAAAGTAGAACATTTAACAGAAGAGTAAGTAAATGATGCCTAATTATGCAACTGAGTAAAAACCTTTAGCCAGAAAAACAAACAGCAGTCCCTAACATTACTGGATTACTTTTTGACTTTCACTGACGGCCCAGCAGAGCATTTCGGTACAGAGGGTGAAGTTGCTTTTCTTTTAGGTCCAGGCAGAGCCACTCGACTGACATGAACTGTCCTGTGTTACCCCAGCAGGCTTGGGTTAATGGTGTCATGACATCAGGGAGGGGGTATTAACAGTGCATAAGCCTAGACTAACCAGTGCTGAATGACTTCTGGCTGACGCAAGACCCAATGGAATGCTGCCTAGAGCACGACCACAAGCTCCTATACCACCAATACCAGCTAACAGAATAGCTCTGCCAGTTTTTCCCTTTACGGCAGCTGAAATGATGTGCATACAAGCAAGGACAACCAATGTGCATTTGTACATTAATAAAATTGTTTAAAAGTTTAAAATGAGGCTTAGGTTATGGTTATGCAACAAAGCAAATGCATACATACAAGCAAATGCAGTTAAGATTTTCTCAAAAGACAAAACACACAACTCACACACAATCCTAAGCGAGTTGAGTATAGCTTATTGTAAGTATAATTATGTGCAATATGTGTAGTCAGCAGCCTTCTGGCAGCCTGTAGTCTTGCAGAGTTCATGCCCTGTCATGCCTGTGCTTACTGAGCATGGACTTGAAATAGCAGGACTGGTGCTGAGGGGGTAAAAGAAAACCGCAGCTAGAGCGGTTGCCATGTGCACAGAGATGTGACCACAACATAATTAAATGAAAGAAAGCAGGAAATAATGGGCAGGGTCAAGGAAAAGAGAAATCCTCTTTGGTTATGAATGGGACATTGTCAAAAAAATTGCATGCCTGAAAAGACATATAGCATGTTTTCAGACCGTATGGAGCAGCGGCAACGTGATCAAACTACTTCATATTCAGCTACACTTCCACACCCGAGGTGAACATGCAGAGGAGCATGCATGTGTGCAGGATTTCAGTGCTCCGGTGTAGGTTGCCAAGTTAAGTGGAATATCAGTGGCTGGCAAGATTGTGTGTTTCACTTCAGTGGCTCCAGAACGGTTGCTGTGCTGACTGTGCTTTGCTTGTCTCAAAACTGAAAGGTATGCTTACATTTAAGACATGCTAATAAATTTAAGTACACAGGATTTTAATTCATCTTGCTGTAATTAACCCAGTAAGTGTAGCATGACAAAGTCAGAATGATACATGCCTTCAAAACCATAAACCAGCATGCTTGGTTTTATCCAGTATTTCTTTCTTACCAGAGGTCCCACCTATGGAAGTAAAGCTCAAACCCTGCCTGTAGGTGTAGCTTCTATTTCTAAACAGGAGAGACAGACGTTTTTCCCTTGAAAATATGCACTGACAGTACCTACACAATGTGTATCAGTCCCTGAGTGCCTCCATCCAGTCTAACGCCACATTCCCAGTGAGAGCCCTGATCTGCATTCAGAACACACAGGCCAACGTCGATAGTTCCCAGAATCATAAATTTGGGTGATTATGCAACTTTCTGCAGAGACCACATGCAGCCAATAAAGAAATTGATTTGGAAGAGTGCCCAAATGACAGGGCAGATTAGACTGTCTATGAAGAGTTGCTTTGTCAAGACGTTTCCACATTAAGTTAGATTAGATAATGATCAGGCTCTCTATCACTCACTTACCCTTCCCATTACTGCTAGCATCATTAAACAGAGTTTCTCAAAGCACTGTATAACTGAAACCAAATACTGTATTATTGACTTCAGGATATAAGCCGCAGTAGGCCTTTAAAACAAATGTCACAATGAAACAAAAGAGGAGTATAAAGATCGGAGTAAACAAAAAAGGAGTGGTCCATCTACGGATACATTTACAGTACAGAGTAATAGCTGCATTTAGTCAGTGTTTGAAGATGAAGGAGTTTTTCCACATCAATCAACCCAAACCATGGAGCCCTGTCGCTGAAGACACACTCCCTCTGAGAGCACTCTTACTTTGATTCAATCCTCCAGACCTGCTTAAGAAGTGCACTGATAACACTGTTTTACAGTCCCTGATTTCATTCCTGTTCATCTGTGCTGGCTCTAACACTGACACAACTCAACAATTCCTCACTATACTGAGGACCCCCTGGAACCCACCCAAGGACCCCCTAGGCTACCATGAGTATCCCTGGGAAAACGCCTCTTTCACCCCTCCCCACCCCCAAAGCAAATGCTGCCAAAGGGATAAGGCGATAAGGCGACACTGGCGAAACTCTCACAGAACTGAGTTGAGGGGGGGTCAACGCGGGGAGCTGGAGTCCTACTGGACAGAAAGTAGGCTATGGGCCACTGCAGACTACTGTTACGCAATTGTAAACAAGACAGGCTGTTGGGATCAACATACTGCCCCCCCCCCCGAGAGACTCGAGGGGCACA